GGGGGCAGGTCTTACAGCTGCGACACCGGAGGGCTTGTTGAAGCGACACGACTCCAAGAGGAGGAGTGTGGCTTGGGGCCATGCATCCTCCTGTCCGCAGCTGCAGCAGATACCGCTCCCAAGTCTAGAAGAGGAGGTAAAGGGTGATGCGATGCAGACAAGGGATATCCCTCAACAACAACAGCAGCAACAAGAGCAGCAGAAGCCAAACCGACCGAAATCCGCATGGCGAAGCTTTGTGGCCGCTGCCGCTGCCGCCGCCACGGCGGCTGCAGCTGCCGCCTCCGTCGAGATCCCTATTGCCGTCGCTGGCTACAGTGACGGGACTACCGTCTGCAGCAGAAGTGACGGCACAACTGCTGGCGTCGGCAGTTCTGGCGGTGACGACAGCCAACTGCCGTCCCCAGTTCGGTCGTACAAGCGGTTGCCGGCCTTGCGGCAGCGCGACTGGGCGGCATCCAGCAATGTATCGCTTAGTGCAGCCGACCTGCCGTACACTGACGGCGCAGTCGCACGTACGGCATCTGAGGTTACCCTTGACGACCTGGGCGACGCCGGCGCCTCCGCCCTGGAAGCTGCCGCGGCGATATCCTCGGCGGCGACACCAACGTCATCAGCAGCAGCGGCACGGGGACGAGGTGCCGAGGGCGGCTGCACCGCCGCCGCGGCCGCCGGCGGCAGTACGGCAGTTTTGGCCTCCGCAGCCACCGCCGCCGCGCCGTCAGTGCCGTCCGCCATGTCGCTGCTGATGGCGGAGATTGAGGCGACGTTTGGGGCTGATGGCGTGAGCGTCATCAGGCCTAGCAGCAGCAGCGGCGGCGGCATCAATGACGGCGCCATCACCGGGTCTTCCTCTTCCCGGCTAAACACCCGTGTAGCTGCTGCTGGGGAGTCGAGCTCTCCGACGGTTACCGTTACAGAGGACAACAGCAACAGCAAATGCAACTTTAGGGGCAACGAGGATGAAGACCAACAGCATCCTGGTACAGCTCTTTGCAGCGACCAAGCGTCGACGCCGGTCGAAAGTCGACCTCCACCTCAACAGCAGCAAGTAACTCAGCAGCCGCAGCCACAGCGGCAACCGACTTGCTTGCGATCGAGTTCCCGGCTTCGACCGCTGAGGGTCAGTTGGGGCGTGGACATGCAACAACAAGAACCTGAACCGCCGCAACCAACGTCGCAGCCAACACCTGCAACTCACATGGATGTTAGGGACAACGGTAGCAGAAGTGAAAAGGAGGATGCTGCCTCATTTATGGAGGAAGCAGATGATGTTGCGGATGAGGTCGCGGAGGAATGCTCAAGCGGGGAAACGGCAGGTCGTGCAAGGACAGCGTACGAGACGCAGACTGGAAGCAGGAGGTCCTTGGCGCGCATGGCAAGAATACTTCGCGACAATAGCGATGCCGATATTGCTAAGAGCAGCGTTGTTGCGGCCGGCGAAGTCGACTGTGGCATTGACAGTGGCAGCAATGGCAACCGCAGCAATGGCGAGCGTTTCAGCGGTAAAGAGGATACTGATTGGGGTGTGGAAACCATATGGCCGGCTTATACCGCAATTGGCAGGATTGGCCGTAGCAGCCGCATTGACAGCGGTGGCGGAAGCGGAAGCGGCGGTGGAGGGCTTGGGTCCAGCCGAACAACCTCCTGGTGCCCCGCTGCTGAAAGCCGGGGTTCGGTGTCACGCAGTGCCTCTTCCTCGCTAACGCCGGGAGCCCCTGTTGCTCCTGCAGCTGCACAAGCACCGCTAACGTCGCCTCCAGCTACAGCTACAGCAGCAGCAGTAGCAGGGCAAGGACGAGAAACAGCCGACTCAAGCTCCTCCAGGGGTTGGAATAGGTCCGCTTGGTAGCGGTGCTAGCATCGGCCAATGGCAGGTAGTGCGAGTGCCGCTGCTGCAGTCAGTGCACCCGAAGCCACCATGCGCAGCAGCAACCTCGCTCCTGTCTAGGCAACAGCGGGCATCAAGATGGTGGGTATCAGCCTGCTGGGTGCGGATTCGGGTGTGTGACATTCGGAGCCGTGCCCCGCTGTTGGCCTCCCACAGGCATGCATGCAGCGCGCACTCGGCTGATGCAGCGGCCGAGCAACAAAGGGGGTGCTCTCCTGGGACGGATTTGCATGTATGGTATAATTGTTGTCCTACCGATCCTTGATGTGTTGTTGTGGACACCTGCAGGGGAAGGGACAGCGGCAGAACGGGGATAAGGGAAAGGGGGAGCGCAGCCCTAGCAGCAGAAGGGAAGGAGTGTCTAGGGTGGCTAGGGTTTGCATGCAATGTATTGTTGTTGTGGCGGCAGCAAGAGAGGCACCGGCTGGACAAGAGGTGGCGGTGCATAGCAGCAGTTGAATTCGAAGGCGGCGAAAGGGTTGGCTATGAGCCATGTTAAGATCTGGGCAATATGACGTACGGCGCTCAGTGTCGTGTCCCTTTGTCTCCGGGGTTTATGGCAGCAGCACCAACAGCAAGTCAGGCATGCAGCTGGGCCTACGGCGGGAGCGGCAGCAGCCGTCGTATGTGTAGTATAGCTGGGTGCCGATGATGGGGCCCTCAGGGACACAGTTGGCTGTGTCGTACCTTGCGGAGCGGCTGTTGCGGACATGTTCAGCACTTAATGTGGCAGGTTCAGGAGTTAAGCAAAGGAAATTGACACCGCTGCTCCAGCGTTGTGGGGATGGGGAGAGGGGCATTTAAGGCGACACATCCGTGTCAGAAAGCAGCGTGTCGGCTTCCTATGGCTATGAGGCTAGGATGTCTCACTCTTATCGAGGTTATGGCAAGGATTTTCGTGGGGGCTCTCGGGGACGTAGTGCTGCACTGTGGCACCCTTATACGTTGACATCTTTGCAGGCGTGTGGGTGGTCGGTTGTGTTTCTCGGGCTCGTGGATTCCCAATGTCTTACTTCAGCCTGGTTGACCGACTGGCGGGCCCTAAGGGGTTTTGTGGGTTTGCGTTTGAGGCCTATACTATGGGCCGCCCTGGTAAGCTTTTCAAGTGATGGACGCGTGGTAGCGATTAACGCACCGGTACTTGCGGCGGTAGGTATAGCCAGTACGGCAATCGAGTTAACTATACGACCGCTTTTCCGCGGCGGGGAATACGGTCTGTGTGTCGTAATGCTGGTTGAGCGGTGTTTCGTGCGGCTGTGAACGGCAATGGTTGTTGAGGGAGAGGGGCCGAGTGCAGCAGCGCGAGCTTCTCCCTTCATATGTCTGAACGGGAAGTAGCAGCCTTGCTCGTCCCGACCCCGCCGGTTGCCGCACAAGGGCAACCATGAGCGGCAGCGTCAGTCATGATAGCGTAGGACTGGAAAGCTCTCGTTGTTTCTGGGCTCGAAACTGCGCCACGTGTGATGGTCCTTGGGTTATGTGTGTGTTGGATTGCAGCATCCTTGAAGTTATTGCAGTTGTGTTGGGTTGTCGACTTGGTTTCGGATCCAGTTGTACTGTCGATATTTCATTCTTCTCTCCTCCTCTTGTGCTCAATGGGGGTCATACGTCCTGTGCTTGGACGCACTTGATATTCCGGCGCTATTAATTTCTTCCTATTAAGGGTCCGCATGACCAAGAAGAATATTGCGTATGTGGTGTGGACTAGCTGCGGGGCACGTCATGGCTTTCACCAATTCCTTCAGGATTGGGTAATGTATTCGCTCCGTTTCGCCCCTGGGGTGGCGCTGCCGGAGGGAGCAGGAGGAAGGGCCTACCTGACCGGTAGGATGGCTTTGTGCCGCACCGGGCTTTGGGATAGACGTTGGAGCGAGAAAGGATACTGTAATAGCTAGACACAGCCCCAATGACACTGCACCTCTTACCCTTACCGCTCCGCTGTTTCCCACCTTTTCACTTTCCTCCTCCTCACTCCGTGTGTGCACCCCACCACCCGACACCCTTTCCCCCTTCCAGGCGATATCTTTCCGCTCTCAGTAGATCTTGACCGCTCGGGCCCATTGCCCGCCGGAACACCCTACCAGGACTCCAGCGATGCGGCAGCAGCAGCAGCAGCAACCGCCAAGGGCCCTGCAGGCACCCTGTACGTCAAGGCATGGTCGTACATGCCTCATTCAATGTTGCCGCTGGTCTTGGGTGTTGTGTCTTGAGTAAGGGTAACGGGCTTTGCTGTTGTACCATGCATGCGACGTTGCGACCTATCAATTTACAGGCACTCATGTGGAATGTGGGTTTTGTGGCTGCGCACGCCAGTGAGTCCCACCAGTGTAGCAGGGTACCCAACCTAATAATATAGTGGCGGTTGCGTTTTTGCACCTAAGTTACGTGCAACGATTCCCGACAGGAAGATGGCATGAAGGTGTGGGGCTCATTTAGGCAGCACTGAGTTGGCTAGATAAGGGCATGCGGGCGGCTTAGCTACAAGGCCACCTAAGGGGCCCAGTGTAGGTTTAACACATAGTACGTCGGTAACTGATGGCCTGTGCACTTAAGCCAAAAGTCGTATCAGTTGCTTGGTGTGCTGATTAAGGCACGGGCACGCGTCGGGCGGCGCCGACGGCCGCCGTCGTCCTGTTCAGTACCACCCGCTCATGCCATGTTACCCTTCTGCACTAACTTGACGATAAGATCCGTTTCCGACAAGCTAACGGAGGCCCGCTCACCACATGTTTGATTCATGCAGCCTATAAAGTGGTAAGTCGGCGTTAACCTTCGTTCTGCCCATCAGCATGCTCTGATATCCCGGCGCAACTTAAGGCCATTGTGCACTAGACAGCCGCAAGTGCTGTCAATGTAACAGCGCTAGATGATGCCCCTGGCCTTTCATACGACCGCAATTGTAGGTAGTTGTGTGTGTCTGCGCACGCCTCGCGGCCGTCAAAGTTCCGTATACAAACTCACTTAATCACTGGCGTAATGCGATGTAGCACTATTTGAAAATGAAGGATTACAAGTGTCTGAAGCCGTTTGAAGAACCTGGTGATGTTTCAACTGTTGTACGGCTCGTTGACTCAAGCAAGCCTTCCCTTGCAATTCGAACACTTTGTGCCGCCGACCAAGTGTCTATGTAAGTCGCAGTCCTAGCTGCGCACGTTTCTAGGCCAGATAAGCTTAAGCTGAGAAGGGCTGACTGCCAACCGCAGAATCTCGTTCTCAATGCATTTTAGCTATGGATCGTTCCTCAAATCGCCAATTGCAATTCCAGGATGGCGGGCTTACCCAGCGCAGCAGTATGTCGTGCCTTGTGAGCGTTCACAGAGCGACATGCATCGACCAGCGCCTCTACGCCCAGCGAAAGCTATTATAGCTTCAGGGTCAACTCCAAGGGCCGCTGTGTTGCGGAGCAGTGCTGGTCAACTGCCTGTCAGAACTCCATGTCTAAGCATTGCATGCGAGCTCCAGGCCGGTGTGCGAGGACAGGCGACTTCCTACCCGAAAACCAACACCAATAACTTTGACAGAACATCCGCCCTGGCAGCATCCGGCCGACGCGGCGATGGCGGGCGCAGCACCAGCCATGTACCCCAGGATGGAAACATCACCGCTAACAAGTGTACCGTTGGACCCGCTGGCAGTCACGGCGCGAACAGCTTTGCTCCTCCCCCCCGGGGGACCACCTTGGCTACACAGCCCATTCGCACCTCAAAGCCCGCCGTCATTCCCGATACCGGCTCCAGCTGCACACAGCCCCCACTTGCTGCACCACCACCACCACCACCGAAGCAGCAGCAGCACCTGCAGCAGCGGCACCCAGCCTCACTCCGACCCGCGCCACCACAACCCATGCAGCCCTCCCCCTCCCCGCCAGCATCCCCACCCGCACGCAGTATGATGGCGGGTGGGGGCAGCCGACCCGCAACAACGCAGCAGGCGCCGCCCTGCCCCGCAGCAGCCCCCTCCCCGCTGGCTGATGGTGTTGGTCCGCCCGCCGGCAGTGTGATGGCGGGCTGGTCGCTGGCGGGCGGTCAGCCCACTCGGAACTCGGTCTACCGGTGGGTACCTAGGGAGGCCTAGGGGTGGGGTTGGCACAAGGGTTGGCACAGGGCCTGTCTGTGGTGTCATGGTGGGCAACTGCTGCCGAGCAGCCGCACGGGTGGTGACTGGTGGTGTGCGAATGCCTGGTGGCTTGCGGTAGGTGGGCCTGGGTGTGCATGGCTGAAAGGGGGCGAGGACCGGAGGGTTACTGGGTTTCAGCGACGCCGTTCAACGCACCGCTGCACGTGGCGGGGCGGGAGCGGGACTGTGGTTTCCTGGGTAGCTGAGGGGTGCAGGGGCTCATGCGGAATGAGCGGCATGGGAGCGACAAGGGCGGGAGAGAGAGGTTGGGCGAAAGGGCGCAGGGCTCGCTGCAACCCACCCCATCCCATGTCGTCCCGGCTCTTCTCACCCCGCCTTCCACCGACCCGCCGCCCTCAGGCTGATCCGCAAGAAGGAGCTCCAACAGCAGTACCACCACCACCCGCACCAGCGCCACTTCGCTGGTGAGACCGACCCACGGGACGGCCACACCGCCGGCAGCAACACCAGCATCAACAGCGGCAGCGAGCAACTAAAGCAGCAGTGGCAACAGCAGTCGCCAGAACTTAGTTCGCAAGCACGCTTTAGCTCGGATGGTCCCGGCGGAGGATTGTCGTACGCAGCAGGAGCTAGCAGCAACAGCAGCATTAGCAGGCATAGACGCAGGAGCGGCAATGGCAAGACTGTAAGGAGCAGCGATGGCAGCGGTGTCAGCAGAAGCCGAGACATGGAGGATAGGGTGGGCGCTGCTAGCAGCGCCGGCTCCGAGCGGTATCAACACCACCACCATCACCACTCCCAAAGAGAGGGCTTGACGAGCGACATCGAGGTTACATGGGCGCACCCGCTGCCTTCGCCGCCACCTCCACCGCACGGGGCTGCAGGGCTCCCTGGCTACGGCGCTAACGGTGGCGATGGTGGCAGTAGTACTGCCGGTGCTAATGGCGGTGTTAGGAGCGGTGGCAGCTGCAGAGCTCCTGGCGGCAGCAGCAGCAGCAGCAGCCTGGTCCAGGAGGCGCTGACGTCGGACCACGCGGCTCGCAACCCGGTGTACAGGTGAGCGGACGGGGATGCCTGTCTTGGTGATGGCGGGGGTGATGGCGATGCGGTTGGTGGTGGGAGGCACACGGGTGATCGACCGGGGGGGATGCAGAGGGAGCATGCGGGGCGTGCAGCTGAGGTGCAGCCATGTGCTGTCTCCATCGGTGCCGCTCCGCTCCTTTCTTCCTCGCTCCGCTGTCCAAAGCCCCTTGGGTGACCCCCTTGGGTGACCCCCTTGGGTGTCCCTCGTCTCCTGCCTTCCAAAGACACCCATTCGCCTCTCCCGCCCGCAACCCTTTCCCCACCCGACAGGATGATTCGCAAGCACGAGCTGCTGCAGCGCCACAGCAGCAGCAGCGGCAGCAGCAGCCAGGGCAGCCGGGGCAGCCATCCCAGTAGCCAACGGCAGCAGCAGCAGTGGCAAGAGGCCCGAGCCGATAGCAAACATCGCCGGCGATACCGCGGGCGTCAGCTGCCTGACTTGGAAGGGGGTAGAGACCTCAGTCGCGCTGCCGCAACGGCTGAGATTCAGCAGGACTCGGCTTCTAACGACCCATGGATTGTTGATGACGACTTCGCTTGCGACGTCATGCTTCAGGGCATTGTGGCACCGACGGTGCAGGCGACGCGGCCCCTGCTGCTGCCGCCACATCAAGGACAGGATCAAGACGCAGAGCAGTTGGGGTTGGGGCAGCTTCAAGACGCAGAGCAGTTGCGGTTGGGGCAGCTTCAAGACGCAGAGCGGTTGGGGTTGGGGCAGCTTCAAGACGCAGAGCGGTTGGGGTTGGGGCAGCTTCAAGACGCAGAGCAGTTGGGGTTGGGGCAGCTTCAAGACGCAGAGCGGTTGGGGTTGGGGCAGCTTCAAGACGCAGAGCGGTTGGGGTTGGGGCAGCTTCAAGACGCAGAGCGGTTGGGGTTAGGGCAGCTTCAAGACGCAGAGCAGTTGGGGTTGCATGCTGAAGAGGGCGAGGAGCAGGGAGAACAGCAGCGGGAGGGGCCGGAAGAGGAGGAGGAGGCGTCATGGGAGGAGCGACGACGCTGGTCGAACTCCGGCCTAGGTGGGGGCTTCGATGCGTTTGTTAGATGGCTTGTTCGGCGCTAGTAGCGCGGATAGTGGCGAGGAGGGCGGGTAACTGCTGGCGTGGATGGTAGGATGGACTGCAGTGGTGGATAGGTGGTACCGTAGCGTCCGCAGGTGCTTGACACGGTTTCCGTGGTGCATGCACTGTTGTGACACATTCGTACAAGGAATGATGAGGGCATACGTCGCTGGGGATCCGCGATATGCCGGGCCCAGGAAGGGTGTGGGGCACCAGGGGGGAGGGTGGGGTGTAGGCCGCTAAGCAACTTGCCTTGGCATGTCTCAGCACCACCGCTGGACCTTCACGCTAACCTCTCCCCCTCCTCCCCTCCCCTCCCGCCTCTGCTGTCTCCGCCAGGTCTGAACCCCGTGCTGCGCCTCATCCGGAAGAAGCAGCTGCAGCGCCGGCTGAGGCTGCGGGGGGGAGCAGCAGGAGCGACTGGCGTTGCCGTTGCTGCTGGAGAGGGCCCTCCCACGACACGACCACCGCCGCCCTCCGGTCCGCCTCCCTCCCTGCCGTCACCACCTGCTGCTCTGGAAGCGGAGGGGGCTGCTGCGGCAGCAGGAGGGGAGGGGATTGGCCCCGGGGATGCGGTGGGCGGCCGGGCGGTCATGAACCACGTGTACCGGTGAGTGTGCGGGGGTAGGGTAAGGTAGGGGGTGCAAGGAGTGCGGGTGGGGTGAAGGGGTTGGAGGTTAACCCTGGAGTGTAAGCGCGCGGGTGGAGGAAGCGGGTAGACTACAGCCTGTGGGGCGGCCTTGGTCATGGAATCCTCTCCGCAGAGCAAGCGGTGTGCAAGGGCCAGGATTGCCAGGATTGCGGACGTGACTGAAGGGAGGTGTTGGCTTGATGCCCTGTCCAGGAGCCTACTCCCAGCCGTGGTGCTGCTTTCCGGTGGTGAGCTGTGGTTGCCCTTCTCTTGTAGTGAAGATGCATGTCGCAGCGCTTCGTCGGTTTCAGACAGCCTCTTAACGTTGCTCTGCTGTTGGCTTGTGCTCGCAGGCTTATTCGCAAGAAGCAGTTGCAGCGGAGGCGTGCCGCCAGGGCAGCTGATGCTGCTGCGGGGGCAGCTGCGGCATCTTTGGCGGAGGAATGGACGACAGGGCAGTCGCTGTCGCCCTCCTCGTCGTCAATGAGATCTCCTTCTTCCTTCTTGCCAAACTGGCACCAACCGCTAAATCAACCGCTACAGCAGCAGCAGTACGGCTTGCGGTCTGCGCCTTTCTTTGACCTGGATCTGGGTTTTTTAGGCCCCGGCTCTTCCACTTCTCCGCCTCCTCCTTCCTCCTTACAATTCTTCGACCCATGGCCGTACGGCGGTTTGTCTTCGCCACCATCCCCCTCACCCGGCGTCATGCTTGCGGAGGCGCTGGACCCCGGGGTCATGCAACCTGGCCAGGGGTTCCTCGACGGCAACGCTGCTGCTAATGCTTCTAGCTTCGGAGGAGAAGCACTAGGAGGACCCATTTATGGCTCCGAAGCCCATTGGGCCGGACATGAAGGGCGACAACACAGGGGAGCAAATGTTGAGCCGCCGCCGCCGCTGGTGCTAGACGTTACGCTGGCGGCGGCGGCGGAGGAGGAGGAGGAGGACACGGTACGACATGATGTTGTACGGCAGCGTTTGTTCCACAACAGCAGCGGCAACAGCCATTTGGACTCCCCACCAGCACCCCTGCCGCTGGTTAGTGACGACCTGGCTGCCTGGATGGTGGGTGAGCGGCCGCGCATGAATGCCGTGTACCGGCTCATCCGCAAGAAGGAGCTGCAGCTGCGGCACCGCCGCCAACACCATGACGGTGGCGGCAGCGGCGGCAGCGGCAGCAGTACAACATGGGAGCATGGCCAGAAGCAGGAGATGGCGGCGGAGGAAAAGCAGAAGCCGTCGAAACCAGCAGCGGCGCCGACGGAGGGGGCAGCGACAGCGCCGCCGCCGCCGGTAACGTTCCCGTTGGCGGCACCAGCTGCGCCAGGAGCGTGTGAGCTGACCTCTCCATCGGAGCCCACTGCTGCCGCCACCGCAGGTGACGACGCTCATTCCCTGCATCCCCTAGGGGCCGCTCAGGTTGACCAGCGGGGCTTGGCTTCGGAGCCGGCCGGCACCCCAGCCGCGCTGCCGGAGGGCGAGGGCGCTGGCCTGGCGCAACCGCCGCCGAAAGCAACAGTCGCTCAACAGCAACCGCAGGAGGAGGTGGAGGTGGAGGTGGCGCCGTCGCTGGGCACCGCACCCGGCGTCGATGGAAAGAGGGCTGCTGAGGGCGTGCGCAGGAAGGGAAGGAGGGCCGGCGCCAGGCCGCCGCGGGCTGGAGGCGCCCCCTCTCCTCCGGACGCCTACCCGGATAGTTACCAGCGGGAGCAGTGGCAGCAGGAACGGCAAGGAGGTGCAGCCGGCGCGGTGGAGGTGAGGCATGGGCCGCCGCCGCAGCAGCCCAGTGTGGTCAGTGACGTGGGTGTAGGTTTGTCGTCGGAGAACGTGTTGGAGGAGCACGAGAAGGAGGCGGAGGCGGAGGGCTCCAGCAGGCTGCAGAAGATGGAGGCTCTCAAGGTGGGTCGGGGGGGGGGCTGGTGGGTAGAGGGTGGGAGGTAAGAGGGTGTGTACGCATGGGCCTCGGGTAGCGTGTAAGAGTGCTGGCGTAAGGGTGCGGGTGAGGCGGGGCGATTGGCTGAGCTGAGCTGCAAGTGCGGTATGATCGCGGCATCACATGGGGGCGTGGGGGTGTGGGACCTAGGGGGCGGGCGTGTAGGGGTTGGAGATGGGAAGAAAGCCTGAACCCCAACGCTGCGATGCGTAATACCGGTCTACGGATTACGCGTGTATACCCAGTCCATGTGCCCCAGCCCTGCCGGCGCCACCTTGTGCCTACTGCCTCGCCCCTCCCCATCATCTCCTCTCGATATCTCGTCTCCACGACCCGCTCCTGGTTCCTCGCACCCGCCGCGCTTCCTCATCTCACAGTCACCTCACAGACCCTCCTCCCCACCGCCACGCTGTACGTTAACCCACCGCAGGCTAGCATCCGTGCAAAGCTCCTGGCCTCCACCTCCACTGCCACTTCCTCGACACCGCCACCGCTACCACCCGCAGCACCTCCGCCCTCGCAGCGGCGGAAGCAGCAGGCCCCCTCCCTCACCCCGCTGCAGTCAGGTCTGCTGAGCTTCCTGAGAGACACGGAGCCCACCGCAGCAGCCATTGCCACCACTGCCGCCGCGGTCTCACAGCGGCAGCGCGATCCCCCTGACCCCTCCGGCCATCATGACGCCGGCGGTGATGGCGCCGCTTCTAGCGGCAGTAGCAGTGGACGGCACCCAACCGCAACAAAACCACCTCCTCCGCCTCCTTCACGTACGACACAGCAGCAGCAGGTGCTGCCGTACAGTGGCATTGCGCAGATGTGGGCTGAAGTGGGCATTCGAGTGGGGCTGCAGCCGCAGGGCGCGCATGGAGGTGGTCGGAGGAGGCGGGCGGCTGGAGGAGGGCAGCAGCAGGAGGAGGAGACGATGGAGGAGGTGCTTGAGAGGGCGGGAGTGGATGCCAGGTGCGCGGGTGGGTGCGGGAGTGGGCGGTGGGGTGTTGTGTGGTGTGCCCAGTTGTGCATGCTGGTGGCCGTGGATGGATGTCGGCAGGTGCAGGGGTGTGGACGTGCTAGCAATGTATGTATGAGAGGCTGTAGAGGTTGAATGACGAAGTAGGAGTCCAGGTATACAGTCAACTGTTTGAAAACGTGTCTCCTAGACGTGTTCCCCTCTCTCTTTTTTCTTGCACGCCCTTCCCCCTTGCCAGCCTGCAGGAATGCTGAGTGCTTGGCTTTCTGTCCGTGGTGTTGCTCACTCTTGCCCTGGATCGAAGGACCCATGGGTCCTTAACATAACAACGACGACCCCCCTCCCTTTCCCCTCGCTTCCTTTCCGCCTGCCTCCTACAGCACCGCTGAGCGTCTGGCCTCCTCCCCGGTGTTGCTCACTCGGGGCTGGGCGGCAGAGGAGGTGCTGCGGAGGCTGAGGGGTCTACAGCTCGTGCTGGCGGGGTCGCCGCCGCCTCTGCACCGGAATGCTGGAAGCGAGAAAGGAGAGGATAAGGATGACGAGGGTGGGGATCCGTACGACGATGGCGAAGGGGAGGAGGATGGCGGCGATGGAGACGGCGACGGAGTCGTGAGGAGCCTAGCGCAGGCTGCCCGCGTGGCGGCTCGGCAGCCCAACCTGCTGACTCGGCAGGCGGGGGCGCTGGCGGCCAACTTGGGAGCGCTGGGGGCGGTGCTGGGCTTGGAGGGGTGAGTTGGGGGCGCCCATACACACATACCGCTAACCGCAGCCATCACCCATCACACCCCTACCAACCCCTACTGCTACCCAACCGCCCGCAGGCCCGCTGTACGACAGTTAGTTAGCCGTTGGCCGTTTCTGTTGGAGTTGCGGGCATCGCTGCTGCCCGACCGACTGTCGCGGCTAGCTGTGGAGCTGGGATTGGGGTTGATGGCGGGGGTGGAGTTAGCGGAGTGGAGGGATGGGAGGAGGCGGGGTTGGGGGGCTGCTTGTGCTTCTGGTGGCAGTGGTGTGATGGCGACTCCTGGTGGGGCGGGGGGAACTCGTGGCGGGGATGAGGGCGGCAGATGTGGGGGCAGGGGTGGAAGGGCAGCGCGAGGAGAAGGGCTGGTTGGTGTGGGAGCAAAGAGGGCAGCAGCGCAGACGGGTGCAGGTGACGCCGCCGCCGCAGCAGCAGCAATCAGGTCAGAGCAGGCGGCGACGGAAGCAGGTCTGGTGGTGGCAGCGGCTGTCGCACGGCGCTACCCGCCCGCCCTGGGGCTGGCTGCGGGGGCGGTGGCGGCGAGGGTGGATGCGCTGGCGGAGGCGATGCGGGACACCGGCGTTGGGTTGGCGGAGGTGGGGGTGGCGGGGGCGGTGACGAAGGCAAGGGGCCAGCAGCTGGGCCCACCAGAGAGGCACAGCGTTACCTACACCGCCTCCGCCTCTGCCGCCGCGGGTGATGACACCTACATTCGTGCTCGCACCCGCGCCGCTCAGCTGGTGGTGGCGCAGCCGGGGCTGCTGGGTTGCAGCGTCGCGGGGCTGGCGGCCAGGTGGCGAGCACTGGCGGCGGCGGTAACGGCAGCAGAGGCGGAGGAGGAAGAGGAGGAGAGGGAGCAGGTACGGCGACTTGGGCAGCAGCAGCAGTGGCACCGGCTGCGGCGGAGCTCCTCTCCGCTGCTGTCTTGGCGGCTGCAACTGGCGACGGCGCCGCCGGCAGCGGTGGCGAGGTGTCTGGCGGCGTCGGAGGCGCGGCTGCGGCGGCTTACCTACCTGGCGGCTGTCGTACCGCCGCCGCCGCAGCCGGCTCCGACATCATCACTGTCGCCGCCGTCAGGGGTTCGCCGGGGCCGGGGACGGCCGAAAAAGTGCACGAGGGTTGATTCCGGGGCAACACCATCTGCCATCGTCATACCCTCCCCCTCCACTTCCTCTTCCTGTACGGGAGTGGATGCCAGGAGGTTACCGTCGTCATCATCGCATCCTCGTCCTTCCCCTTCCTCCTCTTTGTCCACCTGTTCTTCCTCAGGCGCCGCAGCAGCTCCACCCTTGCCCTCCCCGGAGTCACTGTCATTGTCCACCATCCTGGCCATGAGCTCGCAGCGCTTCGAGACCCACTTCCCGGGCTTCAAGGCGTGGTGTGGGGCTGGTGCTGGGAGCAGAACTGCTGTAGCTGGAGATGGGTGTCGTGTGGTCCGCAGTGGCGACTAGTGAGAGTTTATGGACTTCAGGGCACTGACACCTTGGGTATCCTTTGGAGTTCGGATGCATGGTAGCAGTGATAGTGGTAGTAGGGGCGATGGTGCATACGGTGTGTGAGGCTTTTATTGTGAGAGCACCGTGGGGGCGGCAGCTGGCGCTTTTGTTACGTTAGGAACCGTCCTCGTGTGGAAATGGCGGGCGCAACTGTGTGCTGGGTTGCTAGGGGCACTATATGCGCTTTAACTTCACCACGTAAATCGAATGCACAGGTTCCTATTGCTCGGCTCGCTAAAACCAGGACGAATGCGCGGTGGATTTGTTAATCAGAACGTCAATCGCGCTGCTGATATTGCTGGACTTCCGGGTAATGCTGGCTGATGCTGGTGCGTTTCTGTCTGCATTCTCAATCCAATATCTAACCTTTACGCTGAGGCACCTATGGCAAGTAACGCTATACTGCATTTGCAATTGCCCAACATTGCTCAGAGTTTTAGGTTTTATTTACCAGTATGTCATAGGAACAATAAAAGGCAAGCGACCTTTCAAACATGAATTCAATTAAGCCTTGTTGCAAGCGCGGACTATATTCGGCGGACTATATTCGGACTATATCCTAGAATTAGTTGAGCCAACAGCCGTACAATTTGCGACTTCTAGCCGTACGCTTGCAACACAAAATGCACACAGTTTCATAGCATTTCTTGATGTGAGGACGGAAGGGCTCACTTGTTGAGGGCTGTCGACAGCTTGAAGTCGCGTCCGTTCGCTCCGTCGCTGTCAGGGACCTCGAGGCTGTGCGCTGTGTCGATTTGGATTAAAATTAGGGCTCAGATCGGAATGTCTCAGCAAGGAACGAGGCTGCAAGCGTTCCTGCCTCTCATCCTCATCATATCAGCTGCAGAGGCAAGGTTGGCGTTGCTCGCAGCTGGTAAGGATTTGGTCGCAATGCCTAGTGCATTTAACCGCAGCTCTTCCGATGAATTGTGTGTTGCTAGTGCTTGCAACTGTCTGACTGGCTGTTCCCCCAGGCGGGATGCGCTTCTGACATAATTAGCCTATCTCACTAGATGAATGAATGACCGTTACAATGGTGCCCTAAAAGGGAACACGGGTGGCGGGGCTGGTGTCGCTGGCTGCCGGCTGGCTGCTGTGGCTCACCAGCATCCCCGCCATCCGCCGCTGGCTGTACAGCCTGTTCTACATAACCCACTTGCTGGCCGGCACCGTGTTCCTGCTGTTCACCCTGATGCACTACAAGGACAGCGCCGCGTGGATGATGGCAGGTGCGTGCGTGCGCGGTGGGCTGCCCTGCGCGTCATGGCTTCATCTCGGAGGCATCATGCATGTGGAGGGATGCATGTGCCATGGCAGTGTGCAACACCTCTTCTCTTTTGTCACCGCGAACGGGTGTTTAGCTTGCCTTGGGAACCCTGGACTCGCTGCTGGCTTTCACAAGCAACGTCGATAGGTGGTAAGCAGGATGTTAGCGACCGACAACCCCACCCCCTTCTACTGACCTAGCACCTGATTTTATACTCGGCTTCCCGCTCCCCAGGCATCTTCCTGTACCTGCTGGACGTGGCCCTGCGCACGGTGCAGCAGGCCCTCAACTGGACGCGCCTCAGCCTGGCAGCGGACACTGCCTCGGGGGCCGCTGCCAGCATCTCACCCGACGGCAGCCTGCTCACACTCTCGCTCAAGTGCGACGAGGTGCGGCGGGGAGGTAAAGGGTTAACGGCAGCTGGGTAGCTGCGTTCTCTGCTCCAGCGATCTTCTCAACCTAGTGTTAGACACGGACACGCGGCCACCTTTCATGCGAACCTGAAGTTTTCATTGGACGTTGTTGGGATTGGGTGACTACGCATAATGGCTGTGCACGTGCAGTTGCGGACCCATGGGTCAGGGTAGCCAACACGAAACGCATATGCTCTCATGGCAGCAAGCGATCTGCGTAGGATACCAGCCGGATGCCACCCCTCATGAGTAAGCATGCAAATTACGTACGCTCCTTGCTTCTGGGCTTTTTCCGCAGTCCTTGGAGTGGCACGGCTCGGACATCGTGTGCCTCAATGTCCCTGCCGTAAGCTGGTGGCAGTGGCACCCCTTTACGCTTGCCTCCTCCTCCAAGATAACCTTTGCCGGCGGCGAGAAGCGGATGGTGCTGCATATTAAGAAATACAACCGTTGGACCAAGGTACGTTCCGCATCACGGTATTGTAACACGTACCTGTGCATGAAGGTACGGGCGAAAGAACTGTGCATACCAGTACTCGCGGCACGCTATAGTAATCCAACCCCTCGAGAGGCGCTCCCTGCATTACCCTGCTTCCCAGACGAGGTCTGAGTTGTCATCCGTTGGTGGCCTTTGCTGCCTGTCGTGCAGCAACTGTTCAATCGTCTGGCTTCCGACGCCACACCGGTCAAGGTGTACGTCAGCGGGCCGTACGGCAGCGCTAACCGAAAGTGGTTGAAGGGTTTCGACCGACAGGTCTTCATTGCCGGCGGCGTTGGGGTAAGCGAAGTACGGGCGGGTCAGTACGGGCGGGCCTAGATTCAAGCAGATTGAATTGTTGGCCACTCCCCCTTCGATATCCGCGTTTCTCAGATCCCAAACTCCCCCAGTCACACAGGTTCCCGCCAACACACCTCTAAGAGTACTCTTATACGCTTTTTCTCAGCCTGAACGGTGCTGACCACCATAAGACATTCATGCAGGCGACCCCCGCTCTGGGCATGCTTCTGGAGCTCATTGCCCTCCGTCGTGCCAGTTCCGGCGCCAGCGCGGGTGCCGGCAATGGCAGCAGCTGCTGTGGCCGCGTGAGCTTCATCTGGGTCAGCCGCAGCGAGGACGAGCTCAACACCCTGCCGCAGGAAATACTGCAGGAGGCCGGCAGGTGGGTTCATCATAGGGGGCGTAAATGTCTGCTGTCGTAAATGTCTGCTAAACCCTAAGCCTTAGCCAGCCACCCATGCATTGTTCGCATTCCTTGCTAAGTCAAACCATCGCTACTATCCTACAGGCCGCCTGGGAATGGCATGGGTGGCCTAATAGTGGCATGGGTAGCCTGATAATGGCCACGACAACCTTGGGGTTGCCTGGGAAGGGCTTGGATGGGCTGGGAGCCGCCTGGGCTGGTAGGGGGTCTTAGGGTTTCCATACAAAGCCATCCGTAGATAGCCTGCAGGCGGGTCCTGGTTTTCAGCGCTTACAATGATCCATGCGCTGCGTGTGGATCCTAGAGCTGTACCTCAACATGTGCGTATAGCTGGGAGGCAGGTTGTACAGTTAAGTGCAGCAGGCAAAGCGTCACATGCAGCTAATGTCAAGGAGCCCAGCGCGGTGGCTATCATGTGCATCCCCACGCTTATTACCCGAGGAGAATCCCGGCTGTTCGGGTTCTGGCCCTAGCGGGATGGGGGACCTCAGACCTCACACGCGCACGTGTGGCGGATTCTTCCACATACCAACATACCTAGCGCAGCGGTACACGCTGAGAACGGTTGCCGTACATCATGGTGAGTATGGGTGTGTTGTACTAGAGGACCAGCTGTCAGTACCGGTAATCGAGCACACTTTGACCCTGTGTGCATGCTATTACCTGGAACCCAACGATCGTGCCTAACCCTTTCCTGGAGCTACGGAGCTATGCCCTGTGAAGGGGCCCCATGCAGCAGCCATACATACCGGTGGAAGATAAGTAAACAAACATATGAGCACCCCAGCCCGACACCCCCCCTGCTCCACACAAACCACACAATTACAATCCAACTCAGGAATAAATATGGGGTGCACAGGGAAAGTAAGAGAGGGATTGGGCAAACAAGACATCGTGTGACGCCCTCCGGCCCCACCTGATGTGGCCCGCCATGTGCTAACATACAGCAAGAAGGCTGATGTACACGCCCAATTAGGGAGCCGACCCATCGCCCAACCAAACCCAATACACAGTTGGACGCCGCAATGGTAACAGGTGCAAGCAGGGTGCAAGTGTGATTATGTTCAAAACTGTTAAATCCGTGGCAATGTTGTTTTCTATGGGTGCCCTTCATTCTCGAGACAAAACAAGAGGTTTGTAGCCCAACATGAAAAACGCTTGTGACAAAGCGTATAGGCTTTGTTTAAGGGCAAAACGTGTCGTCATCCAGGTTCGAACTGGAGACCTTTCGCGTGTTAGGCGAATGTGATAACCAACTACACCATGACGACTCGCCCCCTGAGGGGCTCATGCTCAAAACGAAGCCCACACTCACCACTATCAAGAGGACACGTGTACGGCGTGCGGAGCGGTCCGAAATCCATGCCAAAACGCGCGGTTTGGGGTATGCATTGACACATGGGATGGCAAGTAACACGTACATGAGTGGCCCGGGATGGCTAGGGTCGCCTGGGGCCCGCCTGGGAATGGCCAGGGTCGCTTGGGAATGCCAAGGGGTGCTTGGGAGTACCAATGGGTAACTGGGAAAGCCAAGGTTCGCTTGAAAACGGCATGGGCCGCCTGGGAATGGCATGGGTGGCCTGGGAGTGGCCTGTATTACCTTGGGGTCGCCTGGGAACGGCTAGCTTCGCTATGGAGCCGCCTGGGAATGGTCGGCGCCACCTTGGAGAGGGCCACTTGGCAATGAGTACAAAGGGTTTCTTGCTTGGAAGTACCGGGGGTCGACTGAGAATGGCATGGTCCGCTTGGGAATGCCAGGGGCCGTCTGGGAATTGCATACATGGATGGCCCGGGAGTTCCCCGCCGGCACCTGGGGTCGCCTGGGAATAGCTAGCTTTGCAACGGGCGGGGCCTTCTAACGAGGATATTGCTACTACGCTCATCAGGTAGTGATAAGCGGAAGCGAAGGATTGGTAGATAGATAGAGAATGGTGCAAAATAGAATTATTAAGGAAGGTTCCAAAGGAATCCCAGAGGGGCCCGTAGCCAGGGCTCGGACGACCTGGATCACAGTGCGTGTGTAAAAAGTGACAGCACCTGCTCTACCCCAAGGGTGGGCTTTGTTGCACCACTGACCCCCAATCCGTGTGCCGTACGGTTCACGGCGGCGCCTGAACCCGTACGACAAGCCAAACGTGCTTCTGCACCTTACAGTTCCAAACCACACACCAGAGGAGAGGAATTGTCCTACCTTCCATCATATACCCCTTTTTGATTATTACATTTGCCTGTCGCTCGGTCGCCTTAGCCAGCCACCCATGCATTGTTCGCATTCCTTGCTAAGTCAAACCATCGCTACTATCCTACAGGCCGCCTGGGAATGGCATGGGTGGCCTAATAGTGGCATGGGTAGCCTGATAATGGCCACGACAACCTTGGGGTTGCCTGGGAAGGGCTTGGATGGGCTGGGAGCCGCCTGGGCTGGTAGGGGGTCTTAGGGTTTCCATACAAAGCCATCCGTAGATAGCCTGCAGGCGGGTCCTGGTTTTCAGCGCTTACAATGATCCATGCGCTGCGTGTGGATCCTAGAGCTGTACCTCAACATGTGCGTATAGCTGGGAGGCAGGTTGTACAGTTAAGTGCAGCAGGCAAAGCGTCACATGCAGCTAATGGCAAGGAGCCCAGCGTGGTGGCTATCATGTGCATCCCCACGCTTATTACCCGAGGAGAATCCCGGCTGTTCGGGTTCTGGCCCTAGCGGGATGGGGGACTTCAGACCTCACACACGCACGTGTGGCGGATTCTTCCACATACCAACATACCTAGCGCAGCGGTACACGCTGAGAACGGTTGCCGTACATCATGGTGAGTATGGGTGTGTTGTACTAGAGGACCAGCTGTCAGTACCGGTAATCGAGCACACTTTGACCCTGTGTGCATGCTATTACCTGGAACCCGACGATCGTGCCTAACCCTTTCCTGGAGCTACGGAGCTAGGCCCTGTGAAGGGGCCCCATGCAGCAGCCATACATACCGGTGGAAGATAAGTAAACAAACATATGAGCACCCCAGCCCGACCACCCCCCTGCTCCACACAAACCACACAATTACAATCCAACTCAGGAATAAATATGGGGTGCACAGGGAAAGTAAGAGAGGGATTGGGCAAACAAGACATCGTGTGACGCCCCCCGGCCCCACCTGATGTGGCCCGCCATGTGCTAACAGCAAGAAGGCTGATGTACACGCCCAATTAGGGAGCCGACCCATCGCCCAACCAAACCCAATACACAGTTGGACGCCGCAATGGTAACAGGTGCAAGCAGGGTGCAAGTGTAATTATGTTTAAAACTGTTGAAGTCCGTGGCAATGTTGTTTTCTATGGGTACCCTTCATTCTCGAGACAAGAGGTTGGTAGCCCAACATGAAAAACGCTTGTGACAAAGCGTATAGGCTTTGTTTAAGGGCAAAACGTGTCGTCATCCAGGTTCGAACTGGAGACCTTTCGCGTGTTAGGCGAATGTGATAACCAACTACACCATGACGACTCGCCCCCTGAGGGGCTCATGCTCAAAACGAAGCCCACACTCACCACTATCAAGAGGACACGTGTACGGCGTGCGGAGCGGTCCGAAATCCATGCCAAAACGCGCGGTTTGGGGTATGCATTGACACATGGGATGGCAAGTAACACGTACATGAGTGGCCCGGGATGGCTAGGGTCGCCTGGGGCCCGCCTGGGAATGGCCAGGGTCGCTTGGGAATGCCAAGGGGTGCTTGGGAGTACCAATGGGTAACTGGGAAAGCCAAGGTTCGCTTGAAAACGGCATGAGCCGCCTGGGAATGGCATGGGTGGCCTGGAAGTGGCATGTATTACCTTGGGGTCGCCTGGGAACGGCTAGCTTCGCTATGGAGCCGCCTGGGAATGGTCGGCGCCACCTTGGAGAGGGCCACTTGGCAATGAGTACCAAGGGTTTCTTGCTTGGAAGTACCGGGGGTCGACTGGGAATGGCATGGTCCGCTTGGGAATGCCAGGGGCCGTCTGGGAATTGCATACATGGGTGGCCCGGGAGTTCCCCGCCGGCACCTGGGGTCGCCTGGGAATAGCTAGCTTTGCAACGGGCGGGGCCTTCTAACGAGGATATTGCTACTACGCTCATCAGGTAGTGATAAGCGGAAGCGAAGGATTGGTAGATAGATAGAGAATGGTGCAAAATAGAATTATTAAGGAAGGTTCCAAAGGAATCCCAGAGGGGCCCGTAGCCAGGGCTCGGACGACCTGGATCACAGTGCGTGTGTAAAAAGTGACAGCACCTGCTCTACCCCAAGGGTGGGCTTTGTTGCACCACTGACCCCCAATCCGTGTGCCGTACGGTTCACGGCGGCGCCTGAACCCGTACGACAAGCCAAACGTGCTTCTGCACCTTACAGTTCCAAACCACACACCAGAGGAGAGGAATTGTCCTACCTTCCATCATATACCCCTTTTTGGTTATTACATTTGCCTGTCGCTCGGTCGCCTTAGCCAGCCACCCATGCATTGTTCGCATTCCTTGCTAAGTCAAACCATCGCTACTATCCTACAGGCCGCCTGGGAATGGCATGGGTGGCCTAATAGTGGCATGGGTAGCCTGATAATGGCCACGACCACCTTGGGGTTGCCTGGGAAGGGCTTGGATGAGCTGGGAGCCGCCTGGGCTGGTAAGGGGGTCTTAGGGTTTTCATACAAAGCCATCCGTAGATAGCCTGCAGGCGGGTCCTGGTTTTCAGCGCTTACAATGATCCATGCGCTGCGTGTGGATCCTAGAGCTGTACCTCAACATGTGCGTATAGCTGGGAGGCAGGTTGTACAGTTAAGTGCAGCAGGCAAAGCGTCACATGCAGCTAATGTCAAGGAGCCCAGCGCGGTGGCTATCATGTGCATCCCCACGCTTATTACCCGAGGAGAATCCCGGCTGTTCGGGTTCTGGCCCTAGCGGGATGGGGGACTTCAGACCTCACACACGCACGTGTGGCGG